CAATTTATAAACTATCAAGGGCTCATGAGGGAGAGGGGAGCGGGGAGGGAGGGGAAAAATGAGGACCTAATGCCAGGGGTTTAAGTGGAGGGAAAGTGTTTTGAGAATGATGAGGGCAATGAATGTACAAATGCGCTTTACACAATTGATGTGTCTATGGATTGTGATAAGAGTTGTATGAGACCCTAATAAAATGCTTTAAAAAAAAAGAATTGTACAAGCCCCCAATAAAATGATTTTTTTTTAAAAGAGGAAAAAAATTAAAAGAACAAAAAAGTATTCCTATGGCTTCTGAGTCTAAAATGAAATTTTTTTAAATTTTCATAGTTAAATATATAAGCAGCCTTGCTGTGCAGTCTTTAAACCTTGGGATCAGCTCAAATCCCAAAAGTCTACCCCACAGAGGTAAAATCAGTACATAAGGGCATGTGAACAAAACTTGGTATAGTACCAAAAGCATGCAAGTGTATATGCACATTTAGCTATCAGTATGCTGTGATTTAACAGCAATGAGTTTGTTTGGGGAGATGTACAGATATGTGTATTTGAGTTATGAATGAATGTGTGTGTGCATTTATTTATGGAAACAAATAAATGTCCATAATAAGAAAATGGCTGAAAAATGGTAGTGTACATTTACATTATGGCATCTCATTCAGTTCTTTAAAAGAAGAAATCAGAACTACACCTATCATAGATGATTCATAGGCATTTTCATGAGATATTATGGAGAAAGATATGGGAGAAAATCAGGGCTTTCTAATCCCATGAAGTCTTGGCAATTCACAGGGACAAGTTCTAAGCTGTCCTGTAGAAACGCTATTAGTTAGCAGTAAGGTGGTTATTTTGGCTTATTGTTGAGAAAATGGCAAAATATATAATGATTAATGAGTAAAAGAGAAAACATATGCCTGATATGTGTATATGACAATATTATCAGCATACAAATCTGTAAATATGGAGAAAACAGTGAAAGAATACATGCTCTGTTGTTCATAAGCACGGAGGGAAGTAAGAATGATGAGGGATGATACAGAATCAAGCTTTGACAGGATAAGATTTTCCTTTTGTAAAAAGTAGAGTGTGTTACCTGAGTCTTTGTCCTTCAACCCCCTACTACACACCTGGAACTGAACTCCGTGCAGGGAATCCACTTTCAGCCCAACAAGGTACGCATTAACCCCAAAGAGTAACTAGCAACCTTATGAAACCCAAAAAGCAGTCAATGCCCAGGGACAAGACGCAGAAGACAGGAAAGGACAAAGGGAAATGGGAAGCAGGGAGGAAGCAGGAAGAGTGTTGTCACATTGTGGCGACTGCCAGTAATGTCACAAAAGGAAATGGGTATGAATTGCTGACAAATTTGTACTCTAAATGAAACCTAATCACGAAGGGTGTGGCCATAGTTGTGCATTTATATGAAATTGCTTAAGTGGGAAATCAGACTAAGTGAAGGGCGGGGATTTGAGTCTTTCAGTATCATCACCACTTACCCTCTAGGGGCTATTATGTTGCTGTTGGAGCATTGGTTAGAGAAGTCAAGTCAATATCATCTTTTTAGTCTGCTGGGACTTAGTTACTCTTACTCAATTCAGTCTTTCTCGTAAAATGTAAATAACTTGTTTTGGAAAATAGAGGAAAGTAGTTTTCAAAATGAGCTTGGTTTGGGTATTGCATATGTGTGTAAGAATGTATGAAGGAAGAACGAGCCCTGGTGCCTTAGTGGTTACATGTTGTGCTGCTAACCACAAGGCCAGCAGTTTGAAACTACCAGCCGCTCTGTGTTAGAGAGACAAGGCTTTCTACTCCCTTAAAGAGTCACAGCCTCAGAAACCCGCAGTGGCAATTCTACCCTGCCCTGTAAGACTTCTATGAGCCAAGATCGACTTGGTGGCAGTGAGAGTGATGTGAGTTAAAGAGGGGGGAAAATGAACACTAGCCTTCTGACTCTCCAGAGAAAAACACCCTGAGAGTTTAGAGTGTTATCATTTATCCTTCTCCCAGCTCCACTTTTGTTTCTGAGTGAAACATAAAAATGTACACTTTGTAAATATTGCATGTCTGGGTTAAAGAGAGGTGCTCACACATGAATCTTTCAAAAGTTTCATGTGTGTTAGTGAACCCTTTCATTTATTCTTTTCACTTACTTTTCCTTAGACATTTACTGTACATATGCCCTAATCTTTTCTAGTTCCTGGCAGACATGGAAAACAATGCACTTTTTCGGGATGATATAGAATGTCAGAAACTCATTATGGAAGCAATGAAATACCATTTATTACCAGAGAGACGGCCCATGTTACAAAGTCCTCGAACCAAACCTCGGAAGTCAACTGTTGGTACATTATTTGCAGTTGGAGGAATGGACTCAACAAAAGGTATCGAAAGAATTTTTATTTGGGGGAAGGGAAAAAATAATTCTCAAAAGTAACATGTCTGATCAAAGTGCCTTTTGGAGAAGTGGCTGGTGCCAGGACTGTGGCAAACAAAGTATTAAATAATCCTGGAACATCTTGTAATGCCTGAAAGAAAGGAAGTCCTCCAAGCATGATGAAGATAAGCCAACAGGAAACAGCAAGCAGAGCATGTAAGAGCCACCACTCCAAATCTGAGATTAGATGAACATCAAAATAATTGGTAAAAGTGGTACCCTCTTGAAGCAATACATTTGTGACTACATACACAGCGCTACAACTAACGAAGAGAAAGCTCTTCCTTACAATAAAATATCAGCCATAAATGTAAGTGAAGTGTGGTATTAGAAAAACCACCATTAAAAAAAGAAAGACAAACCACCGTTGAACAACCATCATAATAACCATTGAGTGAGTTAAAAATCATCTGTGGATACTGAGACTAGTGGGTGAGCATCTGAAGAGAATTGGATATGTAGTCTCAAACTATCCCCCACACTGTGTTTACTTGTTACAGGGGCTAGAATAGTAATTTTACAGCGGGGAAGGCTACCTTAACCAGTGGGCCAGAGTTAAGAGTTCCAGGAGTGCGAGCAGCACTGCCTCTGCTGGCGTTCACTGAGCACAATCAGTAGCACATACCACGGGTATATAAACGGAACTTCTTCACTAGGGAAAGCATCCAGGTTTACAGGCTGCAGAAATGCCCAGTAACATGAAATCCAGAAAGATTCGAGAATTATGGGAGATTAAAGGACACTAAAGGAACAAAACAGCCGGCTATAATGCATGGTCTTGGATTTTCTTTTGCTATAAGGACATAATTGGACATTTGTCATAATGCAAATAAATTTTGTATTTAGCTTAGATAGTAGCATCGTGTCAATGTTATCATACAGATTTTCATGATTGTATTTTGGAAGAATTTCTTGTTTTGGAGAATATAAACGGAAGTATGTAGGGGCCCATGGAAGTCATATCTGTAAGTTTTACTGCTCTTAAATACTTCTGAAAATATTCATATGTATACATGTGTCACTTAATGATAATACATTCTGTGAAATAGGGTAATGCAATTGGATGTTGTGTGTGAACACCATATTACATGCAGCAGGCCCTATACAACATATAGTCAAATGATCATAAAGCCTGTTTTATAGTAAAACCTTATGGTAGCCCTCTGAATAAAACCTTCGAGCTGTGAATCCCCCGATACAGGTGCCAGCCTTGCCAGGTGAGCATTGGGGTCAGGCAGGGACTGAGCTGGTAGAAGATCAGAACTTGGCACACAGATAGGCACATAATAGTGGCTCTGGAGACTTTGCTCCCACCCTGTTGGTGCAGCCTCTTCCTGACCACGTGCAGGGCCCACCCACAGGCCAGAGCTGCCAGTGCCCCGGCCCAGAGGAGCCTTGGCAGGCACTGCACTGGGAATGGAAGGTTTCACAGCTGCTGTGGCAGGTAAATGAAGTGAGGAGGCATCGGAGGAAGAGGCTCTATGGAGATTGGGAGGTGGAAATTGGCACCCCACTGCTCATCTAGGGGTTCAGGGTTTTAAAAACCATTTGGGGGAAATAATAAAAAAGAGAGTTGTTTGCCCTTAAAAAAAAAGCCAACTATGAAATCACAAACATATATGTGATGGGACGTTGCACTTAGGGGTGTAAGGGATGCATATGTATACAGAGAAATAAAATAGAGTAAGTGGGAACGTTTAGGAAATCCAGATCAAGGGTCTCGGGAACCATTCATGTAACTGTCATTACTAATAGTAACAATTAGAGCACCTATCATGAGACATAGTGCTTATTCAGGTATTATGCTAAAGGTTTTCTTTTCGTTCTCTTTCAATACATACTGATCTCCCTTCTTCTGAATTTCTAGAACCGATGCCTTATAATCCCTGACATCTGGCTAGCTATCTGACCTCTCACCTCGCCCCTCACTCCTCCAGTTCCTGCCCCATTAACCTCCATGGTGGTCATCTCACATGTCCCACATTACCCCACATCAGGGACTTGTGCTAAGTGTCTCCTCTCACTGAATGTTCTGCTTCTAGCTGCAAGGCCTTTTACCCTACGGGTTCATTGTACATATTTTCATCTTTTTGATTCGAGGAGGTAGCACTTGGCATGTTGTTAATAGGTGTCCGGCATTCTGCTAGGCGCTGGATCTAGATCATTTTGTTTCATCTTCATAACAGCTGAAGAGTTGAGTGTTATTGTCCTTTCACACAGATGAGGATACAAAGACTTAGTTGTTCCCAAGATCAAATTACTAATAAGTCATAAATCAGGATTCAAACACAAGTGTTCTGACTCTGGAGATGACAGTACACACCCTTAATGCTTCATGTATCATGCCATTACTTCTTAGTATATCAGGTGTAAATTCCTCTCTCTGGTTTTCAGTATTTTTTATAATATGACTCTTGCTGTATAACCAACTTTATTCCTGCGTCTTCAGAAATATTAATAATGGAATATTCTGATCTTCTATCATATGGAAGAAATCTTTATTGCCCTTAAGTTCTTTCCACTGTTTATAGAAGAAGAGCCATTTGCATTAGTTGACTGGTGGTTTGGTTTGATCACTGAGCTCTTGGCCCCCTTCTTTCTGTGTCAGCTCAGTACGTGGTTATGAGTTGCCATCGTTGATTCTTCCTCGTGGTGACCCCATGTGTTACAGCAGATCACCAGGCCTTTTCTTCACAGTAGTCTAGGTGGGTTCAAACCAGCCTAATTTAGCTTAGCAGTTGAGTACCAACAGCACCACCTAAACTTCCCTTTTTATTGTTGGTATAAAATCCATTCCTCTGAAACTAAACCTGTATTATCGTTGAATGGAAAACCAATTTGTTTTCTAAACCTTCACTCAAATCATAATAAAAGGTAGAAAACAAAACAAAATCCTTTGCTGTCAGTTGGGTTCATAGCTACCCTAGCGGCCTCATAGGGTTTCCAAGGTTGTGAATATTATGGAAGCAGATTGACATGTCTTTCTCAAGTAGAGCAGCTGGTGGGTTTGAACCATGATGTTTCTCTCATGAGCCAGGACTTAACCACTGTGCCACCAAGACGTCTTCTGTTCAGTACTCCCAAAACCAAACCAAACCCACTGCCACCACTCCGATTCTAACTCAGAACAACCCTGTTGAATCTGCAGCTTTAATAAATCCGTACAGAAGGAAACTGCCTCATCTTTTCCCACAGAACCAGGGTTAGTGGGTTCAAACTGCTGAGCTTTCAGTTAGCAGCCCAATGCTTAACCCATTGTGTCACCAAGGAACCTTTCTGTTCAGAGTAAAGCCCAACAAAGAAGTTGGTGATGGTTCTTACGAGCCACTGAAAAACTGTTAAAATCTATTTGTGATTAATTTTTCAAGGCTTATTTTTCAACACAAATTAAGGGAGTCCTAAGTTTCCTACATAGAATTTCCAGTTATTAGGGCTTTGTGATTTTGAGATATTTGGTTTTGGTTTTTTTTTAAATCAGGCTTGAGGTTTAAGATTTTTATATCTTCAGAGTTATGCTTATAATTATCAAAATGACTTTTAGTTGTAATAATACCATGATACTATGTAATGAATGAGATCTAAAAGAAATAACTTAAAGTCCAAATGAAAAAATATTCTCTCTATTCATTAGTGAGGAGACATGATTATCATTATTGTGTATCTGATAGAAGAAAGAAGCGTTTAAGATCAAATTTAGGGTGGCACATCAAATATAATATTACATCAAATAATTTGATCATTTACTATAGCAAAAAAGGAAGATTATTCAGATTAAAAAATCTTTTTGAACATTGCACTATTTTTGGTACTATGAAAAATACGGAAAACAATTTTGTATCTACTGTCTTGTAATAGATTGAATTGTGCTCTCCTCCCCCAAATTATGTGTTAACTTGGCTAAGCACATGATGCTCACTGGTTTTGGCAGTTACATTTTGATGTAATTTGATGTTATGTAATGAAGTAATTAACTCCTATAATGTGATCTGATATAATTGTTCAGTCAGTTGTAAGAAGATTAGAGTAAGACCCTTACTCTTGTTATAACCCTAATTCTAGGCAAAGGGAGTTTCCCTAGGCTATGACCCAGGGACTTTTATCTGACGAGAGATAAAAGGAGTTTGGGGGCCTGACTACCACCAAGCAAAAAGAATGCAGTCTTTGGACCAAAGATCCTTGTGCTGAGAACCTCTTAGACCCAGGAAAAGATCAATAGCAAAACACGTAGATTTCTAAGGACTTGAAATAAACTGACATAAAAGGCCTTCTCCTAGAACTGGCTCTCTAAAATTGGACTGCTGGCCCCCTAGACTATGAGAGAATAAATTTCCATTTGCTATAGTCATCCACTTGTAGTACTGCTTTTATAGTAGCACTAGAGAACTAAGACGATCCCCCAAATAACTTAAAATTTTATAAAGTATACAGTGTAGAAAATAATAAAAACGATGGTAGTGTAATGTTTATGCCTTAGACTACTAACTGCAAGGTCAGCAGTTCAAATCCACCAGCCGTTCTGTGGAAGAAAGTTGGGGCTTTCTGTTCCCCACAGGGGCAGTTCTACTCTGACTTATAAGGTCGCTCAGTGGCAGTGAGTTTGGGTTTTGTTTGTTAATAGCATATGAGAAAATATAATATTCTATACCTATAATAATCTATTTTTAGATTTAGGAAATAGTCAATAGTACTAGTAGTACTCTGATGACCTACTTGTTAAAACATACTTTACAGTATCTGTTGTGATCCTTATCAAGGAAAAGTAATTCTACAAGCATAGCATTAATTAGGTGTTAGAAGAGAACTGAACTCTAATTAAATTATTCATAATGAGGTGGTGGGGTTTTGTTGTTGATGGTGATGTTGATGTTTTAACCTCCACTGGACTCATAAAGAAAAAAAACAATAATTCTGAAACAAAGTTATAATATAACCAAACTCCTCAAAGGAATGAGTCACTGGGACTCGGATCAGGACCATAGACTCAGGGACAACAAAGTCTATTGGCACATAGGTCACCAGGACACTGTTCTACATCCTGTTTGGGTGAGTAGTAGCTAAGGTCTTAACGGCTTATGAGCAGCCATCTAAGGCACACCTGAAGCTTCTTCCCTTCTGGAGGAAAGAACAGTGATGAAAATGAAAAGATATGGAGCCATTGGTGTAATGAGCCATGCAAACATCAGCCTCTACAACTGAGACCAGAAAACTGGTTAGTGCCCAGCCATCACTACCAAGTACTCTGAACAGGGTCACATTAGAACAGTGGTTCTCAACCTTCCTAATGCCGAGACCCTTTAGTACAGGTCCTCATGTTGTGGTGAACCGCAACCATCAAATTATTTTTGTTGCTACTTCATCACTGTAATTTTGCTACTGTTATGAATCAGGCGACCACTGTGAAAGGGTCGTTCAACCCCCAAAGGGGTCGTGACCCACAGGTTGAGAACCATTGCATTAGAAGGTCTTGGATAGAGGGGGAGAAAAATGTGGAACCAAACTCAAAATCACAGAGACCAGGCTTACTAGTTGGAAAGAGACAGGTAGAACCCCTGAAACTGTGGCCCTTAGTTACCCTTCAGGTGGATCTATAACCAAATTCACCCTATGTTAGAATATTTAACCATTAATATTAAATGGGCAGCATTTAACCAAAGACACAAGTTCCAAGGGCTAGAAAAGGGGAGGAGCAGGGGGAAATCAGAGTAAGTGATGCCACACTGACGAGGTTGCCGTAGATGAGTGGAAACAAAATGTGCATGCATTGTTGAATGTAAGACTCTTGATCTGCTCTGTAACCCTTCACCTGATTCACAATAAAACGTTTTAATAGTTCATAAAATCTTTCCATTCTTTTAAAAACGGTCTCTCAGCAGTGACTTGCTAAAATGCCTATACTCAAAATTCCCAAAATACACATATTTGCGCTTAATCAAATGCTTTCCTGTAACCCACTTTTTTGCTTCTAGTGATTCCTGTCTTTCTTAGCCCTCTTGTAGTCAAAATGTCTTAGAATCACTTGTGCCCATTGTCTCTTTTCCTCACTCCCAAGCACGTCTCAACCACTCCAGTAAGGATGCTGCTGCGGTTAGAGGCCCTCCAGTCAGACCCTGACTCCCAGCCACCTCACGCACAGTGGACTGAAATGCTGACTGGTCTGCTGCCGTCTCCATTGCTGATCAGACTATTGTGATCCATAAAGTTCTCATTGGCTAATGTTGTGGAAGTAGACCACCGAGTCCTTTTCCAAGTATAGAAATTCCCCTTAACCTCAGCATCATAGCAACATTCAAGCTCCACTGACAGATACGTGGTAGCTACGCATGAGGTACATTGGCTGGGAATTGAACCCAGGTCTTCTGCATGAAAGGTAAGAATTCTGCCACCCCAAACAACAATTTCTCCCTCAATACGAAGTCCACTCCCTAAAGTCATCAATGATGCCATATCCCTAAAGTCATCAATGACACTAAATCCAATACATTGTTGTCTTCATCTTCCTGGATCTCTTTGTTAGCAGGTCTGGCCTGCTTAGACATTTTTCTCTTGGCCTCCATGACACTGCTTTTCTCTTTATTTCTGCCTGCTCCTTCTCAGCTCCCCTTGACACGTGTTCCTTACCCACTTGACTGAACCTAAGAAGCCTGGGGAGTGTGCCTGGGAGAATAGTAAGCCAGCAGGTTAAAGCCATGGGCAGGGCCAGATCATACAGCACCTTGCCGGAATATAATAAGAGTGTTAGTCTCAGTGCTGGTAAAATTATAATTTTGTTCATATGATTTCACACAATACTCGGTCATGGCGATATTTGTATTTATGTGAGTTCCATGTCACTGTTAAGGAGCAACAAGCATTGAAAAGTACGATCTTCGAACCAATATGTGGACTCCTGTCGCAAATATGAACGGGAGGCGACTGCAGTTCGGTGTCGCCGTGTTAGATGACAAACTGTATGTCGTTGGAGGCAGAGACGGACTGAAGACCTTGAATACAGTGGAGTGCTACAACCCCAAAACGAAAACGTGGAGTGTGATGCCTCCTATGTCCACACACAGGCATGGCCTTGGTAAGTGTCTTTGCAGGCTGGTTCCCAGTGTTGCGTGTAGGCTTCCACAGCACTGTGCGTTCCATACCAGCTACAGAGGATGAGCAATGTGGCAGCTGCGTCTGAACGCGGCAGCAGCCAGTACAAGGAAAGACGTGAGTATAAAGGACTTTAGGCAGCATGATGATCTCACAAACCACTCAGATCTAAGAGCCTTCACAAAGTTCCTGGAAAACGAATTAAAAGATAATGAGGTTTTTCCATGAGATTTGTGAAGCCCCCTTATGTGTGTCCTCTGTTGACAAGTAGTGTTATCTAACTTGAATGAAATGCTGATTTTGAAATCTTTAATGTTGTTTTTTCATCTTTTACCCCTGATTTTCAAGCAGAAATGAGTGATGAGCAGAAAAAATGTTGAAAGCGTACAGAGAATTTAGAGACTTTTCAGTCTTTCCGTATTCCCTGAGCAGGCATGTATTCAGCATCTATTGTGTGCCCTGCCCTCTGCTCTATAGGTGTTCAGAGATGAGGAAACCATTGATACCCTCTAGGAACTGTCGGCACATGGTGAAATGCGTAGAAGAGACTTTAGAAACCTTGTACCAAGTGATTTTTCTTAATGAAATAAAAGAACTGTCTGATGAGAGTGAAAAAGGGAGACAAAACTAGATGGAAGCTTGAAATGTATGAGGATCAGCTAGATTTTACTAGAAACGACTGCCCTAAGCTGCAGTGGCTTTAAACAACCATCCATTTAACTCATGGGTCTGTGGGCCAATTGGGTGATTCTTACAGACTGGGCTGCCTTGCCTGATTTCTGCGAGGTTTGTCATTAATCGGTGGTCAGTGGGCAGGGCCTGGATCTACAATAACCTTACATGTATGGTGCTAGGCATGTGGCTAGCATGCAACACTAGGCCATGTGTCTTCAGTGGTTTGTCAGGTGAGCCTAGGCGCCTTCAGATGGTGGCAGTTACAGGGCTTCAAAAATAGTAAGTGAAGCCACAACTCTTACCTATTTTGTTCTCTTGAGTGCCTGCCACTTAGTAGAAGCCCAATAGATATTTGTTGAGTAAACAGACAATTTTGGCTTAGTTCCTTGGTGATGGATCACAGTATTGGATTGTGAAAGCAAATTAAGTAGAGTAAAATTTCATTTTATTGACTTTTAGATTAATGGGAAAGGTAAATAAATTTCAAAAATATTTTAAATCTAAATGTATTGAAAATTATATTAACTCACTGCCATTGAGTCGATGTCAACTCATAGCAACCCTATAGGACAGTGTGGAACTGCCCGTGAGTTTCTGAGACTGTAACTCCTTCACAGGAGTAGAAAGTCCAGTCTTTCTCCTTTGGAGCAGCTGGTGGTTTCAAACTTCTGGCCTTGTGGTTATCAGCCCAACAAGTAACCATGACACCACCAGGGCTCCTTGAAAAATATACTAAGTAATGGTAATATGTAAAAAATGTACTAATGGTAATATATGCATCTCCTGCCATTTTTAAAGCATTTCATGGCTTCTGATCTACCTCCTAGTTCATATGGAACTAGATAGGGCCTGGGATCTTCAAAGTTCCCAGGTGACCACCCAATGCACAATTGGTTTCTGCCCATATGGAGCAATAGAAGAAGAAGGAAAGTCGGGAAGAGGAGGAAATGGAATATGTAGCAAATTTTCTCCGTGGATACCTGCCTCTTTTGCCATGAGACCAGAACTGGATGGTACCTCACTACCATTGCTGGACATTTTAATCAAAGGTTCTACAGGAGAATCCTGATCAAAAGTGTAACAATAGACAATTTCATGTTCTCTTGGGCTCCAGAATTTGTGGAGCCCTGGAAGTGAGATAAACCTGTAAAGCCATTGCCCTGCAGTCATCTTTAATCTTTGAAGCAAAAACACCCCTGAAGTCTTCTGAAAACCAAATAGTGGTTAAACTATTGAAAGATGCCTGCTTTGGCATTATCCCTTTTACAAACTGTGGGATCCAATTGACAACAGCAACGAAAGATATGATAGAAACATGAGACAGTGAGGGTGTGTGAATGGGAATGAGCAACTCAGAAAAGGAGGGCCCATTGTGAAGACCGTAACCAGCGGTGGAACTGGTATATGTTTTCAGTTAAAATTTACAATTTAAAGAAAAGAAAGAAAAACTGACCACGTGACAAAGGGATTAATAGAAAACAAGCTTTGGACTCTTGCAAAGGGAACACGAGTGATTCCATCGTGACCCTTTTCTAATCATGTGCTACTAGATTTTCTTCGTGTCCCCCAGGAAACAGCCATACCCACAAAGTTTGGTGGTTAGCCGATTCTCAGAAAAACACCTAGCTCCACCACCTGAACTAACCTTTGTCTGACCACACAGCTATAATACACCTCCAGAGCCTTGGCCTGCTTCTGCTTCTGACTAGTCCTTCAGTTTCCTGATGGTTCCTTTGCCTACCAATGGACCCCAGCTGCCTGTGCTTTTTGCCTTTATAAGCCCTTGTCACTCCATGCCTCAATGGAACAGCTAATCTTACCCTGTACGATTTGCTGCCTCCCCAGCTCCAGTTGCTTTTCTTTCTCAATAAAGCTCTCTTTAATTAGATTTTGTCAGAGTCTGAGATTCACACTTAAACACACGTCTGGACCTCAACTATGCCTCTATACCCTTGAAAGCAAGAAATTTGGTGCCGTTTGTCACCACCCCCACCCCACACACACACCCCACCCCCCCACCCCCCGTGGAACACCCCCTCCCCCATACACACACACTAAGAACAGTGAGGAAGGCATGTAGCCACATCATAAGTTTTTGCTCATTACACTTGCATTTTTAAGGTTCATTGTTCTTATATTCCAATTAAAATGTGTTCTTTAAGACTTAGCAGTAGCTAACCCATGATTTCTATCCTGTCTCCATTCAGGCGTGGCTGTATTGGAAGGCCCCATGTATGCAGTAGGAGGGCATGATGGCTGGAGCTATCTGAACACAGTGGAAAGATGGGACCCGCAGGCTCGCCAGTGGAACTTTGTTGCCACTATGTCCACCCCCAGGAGCACCGTAGGTGTGGCAGTCCTCAGTGGAAAGTAAGGAAGGATTCTCAGGTCTTTCAAAACCACAATAAACCAAATGTATGAAGTGGTATCATTTCTAAGTTAAAGACATACATTAAATAAATCATGAGAAGCCATTTAAGAGTGATGTAAAGGAATTTTTTTAATCAGTAGTCTTTATTTTTATAGTAGTTCTAAATATAAGTAGTTAAACGTTAGAGTGACTTTGAGTCAGAGTTGACTTCGTGGCAAGAGGCTATAAGCTTCTACTTACCATATTGAATGCAGAAATATTACATAAATATTTAATATTAATAAGTGTCCAGTAAAAAGCTAGTGTATTTTATACCTTTAAAGATATATGGACTTTTAAAATAATATGGGTTCTCCCACTGTGTTTCCTTAAGTAATTCTTTCAATATCTTCTACTGCTGTTTCTTTACTTCTTTTCTTGGACTTTAAAAGAAGGGCTCTCTTGCCTCGTACCTGCACTTCCTGGAGGAAACAGGCTTGAATAGAGCCATCAGCAGTAGCTCATCGTCACTCAGACACTTAATACAGGTCTTTATTCAGCCTGTCTCGTAGAGTAAAGCTTTATATGGCTACTAAATAAAACTTGTTTGTTGTTTATCTTTTGCTCACTTAAAATGCTTTATCACTGGTTCCAGAAAGAAAGAATCTGGCTTAAATGTCAGGAGGAAAAGTCGTTTTAGAATTATGTTATTCATTACTATGTGACAAATTAGAAAAGCACAAGTATTATAAACATTTCTGTACCATGGCAGTGGGCTTGTGTCATGTATTAGTTATGTACTTTTTATAATTCTTAGCACTATTATAAGTGATAAGATAAAGACATTAAACTCACCCTTGCCCACCTTGGTTTGTTTGACCTAAAGAAATCACTGTGCATCTTTCCTCTTTGATAGCAGAAGCAGCCACCAAAGAATCTAGTAAATGGAAACAACTAAACTCTTTTGTTTATATAATTAGGGTTAGTTCACTTGACAATATACACAATGGCACATCTTGTTCGCCAGTATTTCGAATAGAGGACAAAAATATAATAGTCTTCTCTACTGATTTTCAGACCTATGGTAGCCTGGACTTCGAGACATTGAAATGCTTTGCTTTGTTATCTGTCTTGCTTTCTAATGAGCAGTAAATATTTCAGAATTTAACCTAGCTAAATATACTTTCTTGAGTTTCTGAAAAGAAAAATTCAAACCATACTAAAAGATGTGGACAGAAGGATACCCTGGCTGACATGAGATAGGTCTTCTCTGGAAGCAGAGACTAACTAGCAGAAAGAGGTTTGCCTGACTTTTACTGACTATGCAAAGGCATTCAACTGTGTAGCATTACAAATTATAAATAACATTGCAAAGAATGGAAATTCCAGAACACTTCATTGTAGTTGTGGCAGTTACACAATCTGGTGTCAACTTGCAAAGGGGTGGAATCTAGCCTGTCAATCAGCTTGCAGCTTGATGACCTCATTTGGAGGCACCACAGAGATAAATAGCTCACTGGAGGCCAGGTACATATAGACTCTCTGCTTCGTCTTCCTGCTGACACGCCACATGGAGCTACACTGATGCAGCCAGAGCCCTGGAACTGAAGGAGTCATGTGAAGACTCACACCAGCGCTGAGATGCTTACAGCACCACTGGATCCACAAGACTTCCTCACCACTGGCCTATGATCTTCCTGCCTTCAGTATCATTGCATAACTGCGTGAATCTAAAGAGGAATTTATGGACTAGTATTGACATATGGGGTAATGTCAGACTTATGGACTTGATCTGGACTGTGCTGGGATGTTTTCTTCGTGTACAATTGCTCTTATACACATATGAGTCTCCCTAGATTTGTTTCTCTGGTCCACCCAGACTAACGCAGTGGTCATGAGGAAACTATACGTAGATCTAGAGGCAGTCGATCGAACAGAACAAAGGGAACTGGGTGGTTTAAAATCAAGAAAGGTGTGCTTCAAGGGTGGGGTCCTTTCCCCATACTCACTCAAGCTGTATACCGCACACATAATCTGAGAAGCTGGACTATAAAAAGAACGAGGGATCGGGATTATAGAAAGGCTTGTTAATAAGCTGCCTTATACAGATGGCACGATCTTGCTTGCTGAGAGCAAAGAGGACATGGGGCCCTGACTCATGAAGATCAAGGACTACTTTCCTGTGTGCCAAACCTGGTCACTTTTGAGACATTCAAAAATCACCTATGGAAAACCTTCCTGAGCCCCTCTCCTCTTCTCCATTCTTCCCAACACTTATTCTCCTCAGCATTTCTGCTGTCCATAGTGTGTGCAGCATAGCAAGCTCCAGTGTCCATGCTATTAATATAGGTTCCGTTTAGAGCAAAATATTGCCACAGACATGTTATTGCTGAAAACATGGCCATCTTGCTATCTAAGAACCAGTTTGACCATCTGAGATGCAACAATTGATCTCTCCACACATGGAGGGGGAAAAACAAGAGTGAACAAAATCAAAGACTCAAGAAAACAATCCAAAGGACTAATGGACTGCTTGCACCGCAGGCTTTGCTACCCTAGGCCCCAGAGAACTAGATGGCACCAGCTATTGCAGTCAGCCTCTTTAATTGGAACATCACTAAAAGGTCCTCGAAGAGTAGGAGAAAGGTACAGAACAAAATTCAAAGCATAAGAGAGAGCAGACCTACAGATTAACTAATCTGATGAAGAACTGTGGAACTCCCAAGACTGGGATTTGAGCCCAGTCCTGCTATGGCCTTCTATCTAAACCACAGACACAGCTACATGAACAGTACCACCCATGAGGAAGAGGCGTCTTAGAACATATAGGACCTGAAGAGCAGCAGTCAGCTGCAAAATGCTACGAAGGCAGGAAGGGGCAGGGAAGAGGATGGATGAAATAGGGACAGCCAGGAAGTGGGAAAGGTGCTGTCGCATTGAAGGAATTGCAACTGACGTCACAACACAAAAGTGAATATTTTTGTCATAGAAATCGGTTTTCTCTGTAAACTCTCCCAAACCATAATAATGAAATAAAAAGATCCGGTTTGGGTTGCATATGAGATCTGCTGTTTAAGTACATATAAATATTTAGCATTTGAATAGTTATATAGTATGATTCAAATGTTATTTCTTGGATATCAGAAAATAGCTAAATTTTTAAATATTTTGTAGAGGCAATGGAGTTCCAGTTCATACATGCACAAGTCGTGTCAGACACTCGTTTACACACGTGTCTGATTGGTGGGTGGAGGGCTACAGACTAGTCCTCTCAATCACACACTTGTTTTCGTCTCGCTCCGGCGCCTTCAGAAAAAAGGCCCACTCACAATAGTGGCTTCTGAGGGAGTCTGCTTGGCCAGTTACACTCAAAGCACAGAGGGCAGCTCAGGGACCCCTTTTGGGGCACTGTAAAGGGGTGATCTTGATAGGTCTCCCCGAAGGGCCCAGGACAATCATATGGGAGATTATTAGGAAAACGTTTAAAGACAAATGAAAACTGCCTTGGTGAGTACAAGGCCAGGAATGTTACACCAAGGGATTTTGATCATGCTCAACAAGGTGTCTGCTCATTAGCGAGTAGAAGGGCTTCTCCGATGACAGTGTTGCTGAGAAACCTCACCCACGCACCCCACACCCAGGATCTTGCCCCTGCAGACTCCTTTTTGCTCCCTAAGCACAAAGAACATGGAAAAGGAACACAGTTTGAGCCCCTCGAGGATGCCAGAATTACCATTTTGACATAAAAATCGAGGGATGAAGAACTTCCTCAGGGAAGGATTAGAGATGGAAACGACCTTCACAAGGGTACAGACCTGCTGTAAAACAATAGCTTCACATTTTGATATTTTTATTGAATAAAGTTTACATGATTTTTGTAGAAATTCTCATTAACATTTTTCTATGAACATTTTAAAGCCACCTTGTGTGGCAGAAACTTTGAAAGCCAGAATCTTAGAAGGCAGAGGTTGGTCTGACGGAAGACTCAAATGTTTTACTCTATATGAATGATAGGAAGGGGGTAAGGCCACACCATTGAAGGTAAAAATTACAAGACTGGAAAATACTGCAGTCCATCAAGTTCTGGCTCTCCTGGGTCTCACTACAAACACACACACATACATGGAACCCTGGTGACGCAATGGGCTACACACTGACCTGCTTACCACTAGGTCCAAAGTTCAAACCCATCAGTAGCTCTGTGGGAGAAAGATGAGACCACCTAGTCTCATAAAAATGTAAAGTCTTAGAAACCCAGGATCTACTCCCTAGCAGTGAGTCTTGAGTTTGGAAGATACATACGTGTTTGTGTGTATATGCTCATACATGTATGTAAACTGTGATGTGACACGTACTTGTATCATTCAGTTGGTAGCATATCGTCTTTCACAATGTCACATAAATTGACAGTGTCTTATAATCATTAGCATCTTAGACTTGATGAAAGTAGAGATCTTTATCTTAATCATAATAAAAATCCTATAATTTACTGGTCATTTCATTTGTTCTTTTTGTAGACTTTATGCAGTTGGTGGACGTGATGGAAGCTCTTGCCTCAAATCAGTAGAGTGTTTTGATCCGCATACCAATAAGTGGACACTGTGTGCACAGATGTCCAAAAGGAGAGGTGGCGTGGGAGTGACTACCTGGAATGGGCTTCTCTATGCTATTGGCGGGCACGATGCTCCTGCCTCCAACTTGACTTCCAGGCTCTCAGACTGCGTGGAGAGGTAACGCCTAGTTATGGACAAATAACAACAACCAGACACAAATAGAGGGCCCTGTCACTTCCAGACAAATGAATAGCTGTTTCTTGAGAATTCCCTACAAGCAAGGCCGTTTTCTCAGGAGGTTTGCAAATATGGTTGTATGCTCTGGGCATCCCTCAATCTGTCTGCCCACAGTCTGCTTACATTGTTCTCTTACCATATTACTGACTACTTAAACCTGGCCTTAGAATTGACTGAATCATCTGCTTGGATGTAAGAGGTAGAAGCAATAGAACTTGGTGGTTAATTTGCTGTGAAGAATGATAGAGATCCTTTAAGCTCAAGAAACTAGTTAGAGGTGTTGCCACTTAATAAGAAATGCAAGTACGACAGCAGCATCTTTGCTTGGTAAGTTCTAGCTACGTGAGTGGAGAAAGCGGGCAGGGAGTTGAGTGCATGAGTCTGGAGTGCAGAACAAAGGTTTTGGCTGAAGGTTAAGAGTCTTTAGAGTCAGCAGTACATGTGAATCTCCATAGAAGAAGTTCAGGTATGGAAAATGTCAGCCTCTAGACATGGAGTGCAAATAACAAAATTAAGAACTGTAGCAGTGGGAGGCATAGAAGGAAAAACGCATCTGATACACAGAACATACCACTTTCCCCAGTGGACTCCAAGTGGCCCCTGTCACCAATTCACACGGTTCTTTAATCCAGACCACATACTGCACTGGATTGGTACACTCTTCCTGCGGCTTTTTCCTCTAACACAGGTCAATGTTTTACCACACTGACTGGCTCAAAAGACTGGACCAGTCTTCTTGTCCCACGTGCTGTGCTTTCTGGATGTGTCTGGTTCCTCCCTTGTCATGACACCTGTGGCCCGTTAAGCCCTGGAAGTTCTGTCTCAATGCTGGCTGGTTTAGAAGGTTATGTTTGGGCTAATACATGTCACGTATAGTATTGCTTGCGTCAGGGCACCTCACATCAGGAGACATATTTGGCATGGCCACCTCTAGCCCTGCAAAGACTAAACACGAATGATGGGTGGTGACAGTACAACGATGCAATTGCATCCTGATGACTTTTCCTCTTATGACTAGAAAGTAGTCTGTGTGTTGTTGCTTGGGTGCAATGTGAATAGTTCATTCTCTCTCACACAGTCATTTTGATACAGATTGATAATCCTTGCCTGGATCACGATTTTTATTAGGGTTTGAAAAATTGTACTTCTCTAATTCTGTCTTTCTTTTTACATTCATCAGCAGGAACTATAAAGTAGGGCTTCCCCTTTCAACATGAAGCCTTCAGTTATTTTAAAATACAGTTTACTTGCTCTACCACATAGTGTTCAATAGTTTTTCCAGCAATCCATTCTAGCATACTGGATAAAAGCTTAGCTTTTCCCCTTTAATTACCAGTATTAAAAATAAGGAGCTATTTGAATAACTGTCCAAGAAATATAAGTGGTTCCAATGCGCAAGAATTTTGTTGAGCACATTTTTCTTCTCTATCTGGCTGATGGATGGGGAGCAGGAAAGACATTACCTCTGTTCTATGAGGGTTGTAATTTACCAGCAGAGACCTCAGAATTAGTATGGAATTGTAATAAGTGGCTTGAAGTGGGGTGGGCGGGGGGAATTGACCATTTTGAAAGACTTGGGGGCTTAAGGATATACTGCCAGAAGGTGGTTGCCTTTAAAAGTAAAACTTGAAGGAGAAGTTGGCAGACAAAGACCATTTCCAAGAAAAAAAGAAGATCCTGTATAAAGCCAAAAAGAAGTTGGTTCTTTTGAGAAACTGAAAGAGGCCATTATGGCTGGAAATCAAAAAGTTAAGGAGAGAGTGGGCAGAAAGAGGTGTGGGGGACCCTGGGCAGTGAAGCAAATCGGGTCGAGTATTGAGGCCTTAAGAGTTTTGGAAGTGAGTGAGTTGACCTGATTCGACCTTGCAGGATCAGTATGACTTCCTAAACTGCATGTGACCAGAAGAAAGCTGGATGAGGAGGTCAGATGACAATGAGCCCCTTCTATGAAAGAATAAGCAAACAGCTGTATTTTGGGAAAGCAGAAAAGTTAACATGTTGCACTTCACCTTTATTGGGAAGAAAATAATTCAGACTGTATGTGTTACATCCTACAATTTAGGAACTAGCGAAGTCTTTTTAAACACTGCCCTGTAAACAACCGACTCTCTCTAGTACTGCACCCAGTGGACAGTTGTCCACTCATATGAGAGGAATGAGAATCACTGTAGAGAATCTTCACGTCTGTCCCTGGACAGACAGCTTTGGGCAGTTCTCATGTGCATACATCATGACACGAGCCAGAAAGGTCAGAGATGGGAAGCTACAATGACCAGCCTGTATGTTACCAGACATAGTTTCAGGTTTCAAGTAGGCCATCTGTCTCAGTGTCATGGGGCTGCCATAACTAAGCCCTACAACAGATGGCTTTGAAAACAATTTGGAAAGCTGGAAGACCAAACCAGGGTCTCAGCCATATTGATTCTTCCTCAGGACTTTGGGAGAGAAACAATTACTCTCTGATTTCCCCAGTGTCTGGGGGCTGCTAACAATCTTTGGTATTCCCTTGCTTGTCGACAGATCCCTACATGCTTCCCCACCCCACCCCACCCCCTCTTCTCAGTGTGTAACTATTTCTGTCTCTGTCCTTGGGTTTTATAACACCAACCAAAAGCCTACTCCACTTAGGACTTGGTTAACAGATAACATTTGCCAAGAAGATCCCTTTTTCCCCAAGCCATGCCACAGCACTGGGCGGAGGTTAGGGCTTGAGCATATCTTTTACAGGGGCCACAGTTCCACCCATAACACAATCAACAGCCTTCAAGTCCTTTTCCGTATTGAGTTCCTTTGAATAGTTTAAGTGGGGTGCATCTGCTAAATGAATCTATAACCCTGTAAGTTAAAAGCATTCAGGAAAATACTGGTATTTTTTCTCTAAAATATGTTGATGTGCTCTTATTCAATAGACAGTAAGACAACAGATAGACTTGAAGAGTAAAATTACTGTTACATAAGACACTTTGAGAACAACAGCTCCAACTCACCATTTTCCTTCCAGATACGATCCTAAAACCGATGTGTGGACTGCAGTGGCCTCTATGAGCATCAGCAGAGATGCGGTAGGCGTCTGTTTGCTTGGTGATAAACTGTATGCCGTTGGCGGCTACGATGGACAGACTTATCTTAATACTGTGGAGGCTTATGATCCGCAAACAAACGAGTGGGCCCAGGTATGGATTATATTTCCCATTATTTCAAACAAAATGTTGAAACAGTTACTTTGGTCAAACAGATTGGCTCAATTTTTCCAAATGGAAATATATGACAAAATACTCATATTAAAAAGTAATTTCTTAACTAAATATGAGGATGTACAAGGGAATATCAGTATAACATAATTGAAATCCTAAATTACCTTGGAAATACATACAAGTTAATACTCAAGAGACATTAGTTGAGCTGCCACCATTTGTTCGCTGGGAATTGGTGAGCTATGCTAGTACTGATAGAGTTTATGGGCCCACAGAGCCCACAGCCATCAAGTCGAGCCCAACTCACAGCGACCCTATGTAAGGTGTTAGAGACTAAATCTTTTGGGAAGCAGACAGCTTCATCTTTCTCCTCAGAGTAGCTAGTAGGTTTGAACCACCAACCTCACATTAGCAGTCCAACACCTAACCCACAGTGCCAACAGAGCTACTTATAGGACAGCAAGAGGACAGTAATAGTGAGAGGAGATTGTGGGGAAAAGGAGAGTAGTCAGAAATTTTTGAGCCACTTCCCCGTACATGAACCAAAATCTCAAAGACTCGGGCTCCTGGTGGTTGAGAGCAGATCCCATTTCTGGTTCACGCGTAATGCACCTAATGAAGACGATGGGAGAAAGAGGGGGCTCTCTACTCTGCTAACCATGACAGTCTCAGAACCCCTGCCTTGTACGATCACTGTGAGTTGGAATCTGCCTGATGGGAGAGAGTGAGAGTAAATAAAGAAGACAATCCAAAATTGTATTCACAAGGAAAAATCTTAACCGGGCAGACTCACTAACAAAAAGAATTCTGACCTGGTCTGTTTCTAGATGGGCTCTAGCTATTCTAAAGAACGATCTTTCAAGATTTATGTTTCCATCATCTCCAAGAACAGAATCAGTCATCTTGTGCCTGTTACACCAGATTCAGAATCTGGAACATCAGAGGCAGACGGTTCTCCTCCACACAAGGAGCAATACTGGGTGCTACCAAGAAAACACAGCTTAGGAGATGCCTGCTGTCATAGAACTTGAACTGCCACTTCAGTGGGTAAAATACGGCATGTACAAGAAGTGGTTGGTATTAAGTGATGGGAGCCGGGAGCCCTGGTGGTGCAGCGGTTAAGCACTCAGCTTGTAACCCAAAGGTTGATGGTTCAAAGCCACCAGCTGCTCCCTAGGAAAAAGATGTGCCTCTGCTCCAGTGAGGATACACAGCCTCAAAACCCGGTGGGCCAGTTCTGCTCTGTGCCGTCGGGTTGCTGTGAGCCAGACCCCGCCCGGCAGCAGCGGTACTGGTTGGCTTTTTCCTACTAAGTGCCCAGTACTGTAAGCAGTGAGTAGTACAGGATATCAGCGAGAGAGAAAGAATTGGGAGTACTTCAGTGAATGAAGTGGGATCGACAGAATTGACTCAATTCAAGTAGATGGTAAAGGGGGAAGGGGTTGAGAGGAAACATAAAATAATGCCACTGGAGCTGAAATATGAAATATGTATTTGGGATTGATGGTTGATTATAAAAACCCATGGTTTAAAAGGGTAGGAATTGTTATGGAGGGAGTGGGAGAGCAAGACAGAGGTCTATGAAGGTCAAGCCAAAGAGTTTGGTGATGAGGATCCAGCTGGGACTTTTCACCCAGACTGCGTTGTGGGGAGAGAAAGCTCAGTGTGCCAGCCATGGAGGACAGAGTCCGTTCAGGTCAGGCAGGCAGCGGTGGCGGCTGGGAAAGGACAGCGACGAGAAGACTGCTTCCTTGTAAGGCTTGAGGTGTGTGCATCAGAGAGGAGAGAAGAAGGGTGGGCTCAAAGGTTCTGCCAGTGCTTGAGGGAACCCTGGTGGTGCGGTGGGTTAAGCACTCGGCTGTGTGTCCCTGCAAGGCTTTACAGTCACAGAACTCCAAATGTGCCCCTGAGACTCGGAATCAATTCAGTGGCCCTGGGTTTGGTACTTTGAGTCACGTGCTCACAGTTACTGCTGTGTTAGAAGTTCGCTCACTGCCATCAAGTCAGTGCTGACTCATGGCAACCATGTTGGGCAGAATAGAACTGCCCCTTCGAGTTTCAGGGACTGTCATCTTTACAGGAACAGAAAGCCTCATCTGTCTCCCGAGGAGCAGCTAATGGGTTTGAACTGCTGGCCTTGTATTTAGCAGCCCAACTTGTAACCCACTAGGCCACCAGGGGCAACTTGTGGCGAAAATAGCAAAGGCATGATCAGAGAGTCCCTTAGAAGATAAGAGAACAGAGCTTGTAAAGGGAGGGGAAGTACTTTGTGAATGAAATCCTAATGAGTAATGAAGATGTTTACTCATTTGTGAGGTTGTTGGATGGACTTTTGTGAATGTGATAGAAGCAGAAGGCACTGCCCAGAGTTGACCAATAAAGGGAAGAATAAGAGTGAGCAGTACTGAGGGCAGGCAATTTTTAATTAATGATGACAGAAAGTTAATATTTATTAAGTATATTTATATACCAGGCTGTGTTCTAAGCATTTTACATTAAAGAATTTATCTGAAACTCAATAATCCAGGTACTACTATTTTCCCACAGTCCAAAGTGTGGGATCAGAGACACTGGTAAATAACTGGCTAGAAAGCACATTAACAAATCAGTGGTGACGTTAGTGGTTGAAGTAGTGTTTACAGTTTGGTTTGGTTTCTGTGTGTGTGTTTTTTGTTTGTTCTTTATTTTTGCAATAAGAGGGTAGGGAGAGATTTGGTTTTGCTTGAAAAGAGTAAAACTGTAGGGCCGCTACTTGGGAGAAGGTCATGAAACAGAAAAGAGAAGCAGACTTGTCACCTTTGGAAGGAAAGAGCTTTTCCTCTGAGGACGGAGGGAAAGATGAGAGTGGGCAGGTAGACAGGGACAGGAAGTCTTTAAGTGAAAACTCACTGTCACCGCGTCCCATCCGACTCACATCATAGTGACCCTGTAGGACAGGGTACTGCTCCTTTGGGTTTCTAAGACTGTCACTCTACAGGAGTAAAAGCTTCTTTCTCCTTTGGAGCAACTGGTGGTTTCGAACTGCTGACCTTGTGGTTAGCAGTCCAATGCATAGCCATGCCACCAGAGGGAGGAAATTGACACTGTGTGACCTTGATCTGTTTCTTAAAAAAGTAAGATCAGTTGGTGCAGGAAATAAAGGGCAAGATTGAGGGTTTTAGCGCATTTTGGAGTACATTCCAAGAGATTTCACTGGAGACGATGTGATTATCGCCTATCAGCCTCCTTCTGTGTCAGAAACAGTGGGGAATGGCCACCAGGGAACATAGAAATGAGAGAACCTTTTCCTGAGATTTATTTGACTTAATCTCTTAGGCTAGTTATAAGGAAATCCACTGACTAGTTTTTAAGTCTTGATTTCATAGACAATTAGAATCTTCTATTGAATCACTCTATCTAAATTGCAAATCTGTAACTACATAACTATTTTGTGTGCATGCCACACAAAAGGTACACATAATTTATGGCCCCCACCCATGCACTACCAGCCTTAACCCAAGCCAGGAGGAAACTACAGCAGTGCATTTAATAAATTCTCCACACTCAGCTTTCTAGCTGGTTGTCTTGGCAACATCAACTGTTGGTAGTGTTGGAGAACCGGTATATTAGGGATTTTGAAAAAAAACTGCCTAATTGCAAACAGACATTTTGTCTTAAATTATGTAGAGGCTACTCCAAGAATACTGTAAATAGAGGGGGTTTAAAATACATGGGTTGTTTTATGAAACTGTAACAGGGATCAAAACAACAGATGGAGAATTCTCATATACATGCAGTCTCGATCTGTGCTCAAAATTCATGCATTTGTTTGGGAGTGGGGGGTTTCACTGATCAGGGGGTTACTGTAGCATCCACGTTTTATTACATACTTCCATGTAAACAAAACCTATCCGCCATTGAGTCGATTCTGACTCACAGCGACCCTATAGAACAGAGTCAAACTGCTTCTGTGGATTTCCAGGGCTGTAAATCTTTATGGGAGTAGAAAGCCTCCTCTTTTTCTGGTGGTTTCAAACTGATGACCTTGTGGTTAGCAGCCTAACTCATAACCCAGTACAACACCAGGGCTACTTGGCCACCCAAGTACAAAGCAAACTTTCTTAATTTGTATTGGTAACCTCAATCCCCACCACCAACTAATAGCATTTAAATTCTTTTCAGTCAAATGCAAAGACTCGTGTTTTGCTCTAAAGTTCTCTTTAAAACCTTCCCTATAGTTTTTTATAGTTTAGTGTCTATAGTTTATAGTTGGTCTTATATATAAAGGGGGAGGAACCGGGCCAACAGTAAGTAGGACTGGTGCCCTGAGGTTTGGGAATAGCAGCTGTCTGTCAACAGGCACAGAATGATTTCAGAATTTTACCAGCTACTGTGGGAGAATGGACTTTGCTTTAACCTACAAACCCTATTGCTTTTGTTTCAGGTGGCTCCACTGTGCCTGGGAAGAGCTGGGGCTTGTGTGGTGACTGTAAAACTATAATTCCCTAAGTGAAGCTGTTCTCCTCCTTTATGAATCTAATGCAGCTGTTCTGCGCTCAGTGGATATACTTCATACTCCATTGACTGCTACATTCCTGGACACCAAGTCCCTGGTCGCACAGTAAAGAGGCTAACCCGTGGGAAAGAGGTGTAAACTAGAATGAAATACTTTTGGTCTTCTGAGTAAATCAGAGCTGCCTCTAGTGGGCTGCGAGCGTCTGTCCTGACAGAAAATGAGGCCAAAGGCACTGGTGTGAGGCATCGCGCCATGGTTACTGGGGCCTCATCTATTCTTAACCAAGCATTTTCACTCACGTTACCCAGATTCGCTTATGAAAGTGCAAACACACCAGTTAAAACTTCTAAGGTTGTGCCTCATAACTTTTTCTCATACATGCATTTATCATACATTAGTTGTAGTACGTTTTGCTTGTTCCCTTGATTATTTAACCACAAGCACTATTTTAATGACATTCTAAAGACTCTATTGCGTGATATTTTCTAAAACAGGTGCATTTTGTGTGTGTGTCCCCTGGTTGTAGATTTTATTTCTAAAATTGGTTCAATCCCGTAAGTAAAGAAAAACATTAAAACATTAAAAGAATAATGACCAAATAAAAACTTGACACAATCTTTGGGAACTATTAAACATTCATTCCATGTCATGGAGACTTGCCAAGTACTAGATGTTATTCCTAAATTGAAGCGCTGTACTTTACGTTACATTTAAGATATGCAAATATATGTAGAGAAAATAAATGATATATACTGTATAATGTTCTTTCATCTACTTAGCTTTTAATTATGAAGATTTTTTTTCTTTTATATCTTGAGAAATGCTTTTACTTTTTACAAGGACAAGACTACTTGGACCTCCTTGCATCCGCAAGTCTGCATTTGCCCCCCTCCTACCCCCGCCCCCTACTTTCTTGTGTTTGTCACAGTGGCCCCTTGTGCTTGTTTGTACTCAAACTATTGGGGGGATTGGGCTTATTGAATGTTGACAAAATAAGTTTAAAATGTTTGTTACCCAAAGTTTTGTACATTTGTAAACTCTAATTACATAGGTGAATGTTAATACTCTCAATGAATTATTTATTATTTGCAAAATGCACAGGGAAGTAACATTTTGCTTTAATCCTGTAAGATATGTCATTAACTTATTACAAAATATGAGTACAAACTAAATGCCCATCTTTTAAAATAGAATGTTGTGGTTAATGTATTTTTCAATTTTCTATCAGGAGAGCCTTTGTTTTAGTTGCTTTCTTTCAACATTAAAACTAAATTAACTTCTTTTGAATGTCCATGAGCTATTTCTGCGTTGGATCCCAAGAAACAGAATACTTCTAGACCCCAAGCCCCTCTGTTATTCCTTTTACTTTATGGCCACTAAGAGACTAATGGTGTTGGTGATTAATATATAAATATATGAAATATTAGCATATGGTTCAATATATTGATACTTTACATATTTATAAAGATGAACATATCTTTAAGTCCTCATACTTGTTATATATAAATCTATGAAATAAGTGAATTATTTCATTTCACAAATTTTTTCTGGCTAAGAGGTTAGCTATGGGGTATATTTATGGATTTAGGTGGAAGGGAAAGAAGAGACAACGTTATAAAAAAGCCAAGATTTCTAGCATCATCTCATGGTGGATGCTTAGCCCTGCTATTGAGTGGACATACTGGCCCTGTGCTCATCCCTTTGCACAGTCATCACACTCTTCTTCCTCTGGTGCACAAGGAGGCCAGAAACATAAAGTACAGGAACTAATTCTCCACTCTGGTGGCCTTCTTTCATTAAGAGGAGTCATCCAAGGAACTGCTAGCTCCCTGAATTTTCAACCCTAATATTCTCTTCCATGGAGCATTAGAGGCAATAAGGCCTGTTCTCTTGTATCAAGAAAAAGATCTATTTCTTTTCTAATGAAGAACATTAGCCAAGGCAGTCACCATTCCCCTATTCAAAGATTTTATAATCTAGAGAAAAATAAAGCACTTTCTTGTATCCATTACCACCGTTGCTGTCTTGATTTTTAATAGCGGCCTGCCTACTGAGAAGGACCCCCAGTGCTATAGTGGTTATGCGTTGGACTACAGTCAACAAAGTCCACAGTTCAAAACCAGCAGCCACTTCAACAAAAAGAAACCTCAGTCTGATACAGGCATTCATGAAACACCCACAGCTCATGTCAGACTTCATGATGAAAGATTGAAAGTTTTCCCCATACAATCAGGAATAAAACGTGTGCTTCCTTTTACCAGTGCTATTCAACATTGTACTGGCAATTCTAGTCTAGTCAAAGAAGTTAGGCAACAAGTACTAGGAAGAAAAAAGTACTCCAGTTGGAAAGGAAGAAACAAAATTATAACTATTTGCATATAACATGATTCTATACATAGAAAATTCTAACGAATCTCCAAAAAAAAAAAAATACTGTGCTGCTACCAGGAGCAGTCAAGTCATTTGTGACTCATAGCAACCCTGTGTCCAACAGAAGTAAGCACTGCCTAATCCATTGTTCTATCAGAGCCCATTGTTTCAGCCACTGTGTCACTCTGTCTCATCAAGGGTCTTCTCTTTTTCACTGCCCCTCCACTTTACCAATTGTGTTAGGTCAGGTTGACTAGAGAAACAAATCCAGGGACACATGTATGTATGAGAGCTTTATATCAAAGTAATTGTATATTAAGAAAACAGCCTAGTCCAGATCAAGTCTGTAAGTCCAGTATTAACCCATAAATCCAATACTAGTCCATAAATCTTTCTTCAGACTCAATAAGCCACGTGCAATGATGCAGGAAGATCACAGGCCAGTGGGGGCAACGTCTTGTGGATCCAACGGCAGTGGAAGCATCTCAGCCCTGGCGCAGGTCTCCAGGTGGCTCCTCCAGCTCTTCGAGTGGTTCTTCAACAGGAAGTGAAGCAGAGAGGAAGAGAGGAAATTCCCAGAATCTTCATGAGAAGGCCACACCCAAAAGGAGTCCTCATCAGGCTGTGACGTGATTGACAGGCTAAACTCCACCCCTGCACTTATTTATCAAGTTGACATGAAATTACGTAACTACCCACCACACATGATGTCTTGTCCAGGAACTGGTCCAGAGCATGTGAGAGAAAGCCCTCGCATCTAAGGAACATTCTTGGCTATACTTCTTCCAAACACATTTGTAAGTTCTTCTGGCAGTCCACAGTATTTTCAATATTTTTGCCGGCACCATAATTCAAATGCATTGAGTATTCCTTTGTCTTCCTTCTTCAATGTCCAACTTTCACATGCATATGAGGTGATTGAAAATACCACTGTTTGGGTCAGGTGCACCGTAGTTCTCAGAGTGACACTCTCACTTTCCAACACTGAAGAAATCTTGTGCAGCAGATTAGCTAGAGCAGGAAGTCGTTTGATCTCTTGACTGCTGCTTCCATGAGCATTGATTATGGATCCAAGCAAGACAAAATCCTTGACAACTTCAATTTTCTGCATTTATCATGATGTTACCTATGGGTTTAATTGCTTATATTTTGTTTTCTTTTCATTTGTAATTCACATGGAAGGCTGCATTCCCTGACCTTCATCAGCAAGTGCCTCAAGTCCTCATTTCAGCAAGTAAGGTTATGTCATCTGCATATTGAAGGTTGTTAGTAAGCCTTCTTCAAACTTGATGCCACATTCTTCGTTCCATCCAAATTCTTGGATTATTTGCTGAACATACAGATTGAATAAGTATGGTGAGAGGATACAACCCTGACACACACCTTTCCTGATTTTAAACAAAACAGTATTATTCCCTTGTTCTGTTCCCACAACTGCCTCTTGATCCATGTGCAGGTTCCACATAAGCATAATGAAGTATCCTGGAATTCCCATTCTTTTCAAGCTTACCCTTAGTTTACTATGATCCACACAGTCAAATGCCTTGACAAAGTCAATAAAACACAAGTAATCATCTTTCCGGTATTCTCTGTTTTCAGCAAGATCCATCTGATACCAGCAATTATATCCCTTGTTTCACCCCCTCTTCTGAATCTGGCCTGAATTTCTAGCAACTCCCCATCAGTGTCCTGCTGCAACCATTCTTGAATGATCTTGTGCAAAATTTTACTTGCATGTCTTACCGATGATTTTGTTCTATAATTCGAACATTCTGTTGGATTACCTTCTTGGGAATGGGTACAAAGATGGATCTCTTCAAGTCAGTCAGCCTGGTAGCTGTCTTCCAAACTTCTTGGCATAGGTGAGTGAGTACTTTCAGCGCTTCATAGCTTGTTGAAACATTTCGATTGGTATTCTGTCTATTCCTGGAGCCTTGTGTCAGGCTAATGTCTTCAGTGCAGCTTAGACTGTCTCCCTCAGTACCACTGATCATATACTACAATGTGCATTCTTTCCATCTTTTTATATGCTTCCTTCATCATTCAATATTTTCCCCCATGGAGTCTTTCAATATTGCAACTCAAGGCTTGCATTTTTTTTTGTTTAGTTCTTTCAGTTTAAGATATGCTGCGTATGTTTTGCCTTTTTTATTTCTAACTCTAGGTCTTTGCATGTTTCTTTATAATACGTTGTCTTCTTGAGTTGCCCTTTGAATTTTTCTGTTCAGCTCTTAGCTACTCTATGCTGAAGAGCAAGTTTCAAAGTCTCCTCTAACCTCACTTGGATCTGTTTTCTTTGCTGTCTTAATGATCTTTTGTTTTCTTCATGTGTGGTGTTCTTATTATCCCAGAGTTCATCAGATCTTCGGTCAATTATTGTTTATTACCTCAAATCTGTTCTTGAGATATTCTCAAAATTCAGATGGGATCTATTCAAGATCACATTTGGGCCTTCATGGACTTGAGTTAATTTTCTTCAGCTTCAATCTGAACTTCAACATGCAATTGATGTTCTGTCCCACAGTTGGTCCCTGGCCTTGTTTTAGCTGCTGATATGGAGCTTCTCCATCATCTCATCCCGCAGATGTTGTCAGTTTGACTTCTGTACATTCGTCTGGAGAAATCCACGAGTACAGTTGATGAAAAAGGCAGTTGTGATGAGAAAATCTTCGATCTTGTACATTCTATCGTGCTTTCTCCAGCGTTAGCTCTGTCATCAATTTTTTGTTTCTGTCATCAGTTTTCCAACTCCTTTCCTTCCTCTCTGTGTCCTACTTTGGCATTTCAATCGCCTTTTTTTTTTTTTCTTTTTTAACATTTTATTAGGGGTTCATACAACTGTTATCCCAATCCATACACACATCAATTGTGTAAAGCGCATTTGTACAT